TGGCGTCATTTCATGTGGAAAGTCGTTGCCCTGGAGTGCGTGGAGCAGAAATAAGAGACGCACCGATGTATCGGCCACCAAAAATCATCGGCTGTAATAGGGTTGTCGTCATATTGTCAATTACAAATAAAAAGGTGCCAATAATGGCAGGATGCGTCCCATAGACTTGGTGCCAAATCGCCCCCCGTAGCCTTGGTGCCAAATCGCCCCCCGTAGCCTTGGTGCCAAATCGCCCCCCCCGTAGCCTTGGTGCCAAATCGCCCCCCGTAGCCTTGGTGCCAAATCGCCCCCCGTAGCCTTGGTGCCAAATCGCCCCCCTTAGCCTTGGTGCCAAATCGCCCCCCTTAGCCTTGGTGCCAAATCGCCCCCCTTAGCCTTGGTGCCAAATCGCCCCCCTTAGCCTTGGTGCCAAATCGCCCCCCTTAGCCTTGGTGCCAAATCGCCCCCCTTAGCCTTGGTGCCAAATCGCCCCCCCTTAGCCTTGGTGCCAAATCGCCCCCCTTAGCCTTGGTGCCAAATCGCCCCCCTGTAGAATTGGTGCCAAATCGCCCCCCCGTAGACTTGGTGCCAAATCGCCCCCCCTTGTAGACTTGGTGCCAAATCGCCCCCCCCGTAGACTTGGTGCCAAATCGCCCCCCCGTAGCCTTGGTGCCAAATCGCCCCCCCGTAGCCTTGGTGCCAAATCGCCCCCCTTAGCCTTGGTGCCAAATCGCCCCCCTTAGCCTTGGTGCCAAATCGCCTCCCCCTGTAGACTTGGTGCCAAATCGCCTCCCCGTAGCCTTGGTGCCCGGTCGCCCTCCCCGTAGAATTGGTGCCCGGTCGCCTCCCCGTAGCCTTGGTGCCGGTCGCCTCCCCGTAGCCTTGGTGCCCGGTCGCCTCCCCGTAGCCTTGGTGCCCGGTCGCCTCCCCGTTAGCCTTGGTGCCCGGGTCGCCTCCCCCCGTAGCCTTGGTGCCCGGTCGCCTCCCCGTAGCCTTGGTGCCCGGTCGCCTCCCCGTAGCCTTGGTGCCCGGTCGCCGTTTGGAGACCACTGCTCTGAAGGACATGCATTGGACATAGGACTTGCCTTATCTTGTTCTACACTATATCTCTATGGAGGCAGCCATCTGGCTAGTGGTGTCAGAGCGCCCTCTGAAAACGAGTGATCTTATGACTGGTGGTGGTGAGGTGTGGGGTGGGGGGGGGAGTATTAGTGATCTGATGACTGGTGGGAGGGGAATATTAGTGATCTGATGACTGGTGGGAGGGGGAATATTAGTGATCTGATGACACTGGAGTTATAAAGGGATGGACATGGTCAGCAACAATACTCAGGTAGGCCGTCGGCATTTAAACTATGCTCAATTGGTACTAAGGGAAACAGTGTGCCAAGAAATCTCCCCCACACCATGACACCACCACCACCAGCCTGAACCATTGATACAAGGCAGGATGGATCCACCACACCATGACACCACCACCACCACCAGCCTGAACCATTGATACAAGGCAGGATGGATCCACCACACCATGACACCACCACCACCAGCCTGAACCATTGATACAAGGCAGGATGGTTCCACCACACCATGACACCACCACCACCAATCCAGCTGAACCATTGATACAAGGCAGGATGGTTCCCACCACACCATGACACCACCAACCACCACCAGCCTGAACCATTGATACAAGGCAGGATGGATCCACCACACCATGACACCACCACCACCAGCCTGGACCGTTGATACAAGGCAGGATGGATCCACCACACCATGACACCACCACCACCAGGCTGAACCGTTGATACAAGGCAGGATGGATCCACCACACCATGACACCACCACCAAGCCTGAACCCATTTGATACAAGGCAGGATGGATCCACCACACCATGACACCACCACCACCAGCCTGAACCATTGATACAAGGCAGGATGGATCCACCACACCATGACACCTCCACCACCATTACCTGGACCGTTGATGACACCACAAGGCAGGATGAATCCACCACACCATGACACCACCACCCACCAGCCTGAACCGTTGATACAAGGCAGGATGAATCCACCACACCATGACACCACCACCACCACCAGCCTGAACCGTTGATACAAGGCAGGATGAATCCACCACACCACCATGACACCACCACCACCAGCCTGAACCGCTGATACAAGGCAGGATGATCCACCACACCATGACACCACCACCACCAGCCTGGACCGTTGATACAAGGCAGGATGAATCCACCACACCATGACACCACCACCACCAGCCTGAACCATTGATACAAGGCAGGATGACCACATGGATCCACCACACCTTAGCCTGGACCATGACACAATCCACCACACCATGACACCACCACCACCAGCCTGGACCGTTGATACAATGGCAGGATGGATCCACCACACCATGACACCACCACCACCTGAACCATTGATACAAGGCAGGATGGATCCACCACACCATGACACCACCACCAACCAGCCATGGACCGTTGATACAAGGCAGGATGGAATCCACCACACCATGACACCACCCCCACCAGCCTGAACCGTTGATACAAGGCAGGATGAATCCACCACACCATGACACCACCCCCACCAGCCTGAACCGTTGATACAAGGCAGGATGGATCCACCACATCATGACACCACCACCCAGCCTGAACCATTGATACAAGGCAGGATGGATCCACCACAACCATGACACCACCAGCCTGAAACCATTTGATACAAGGCAGGATGGATCCACCACACCATGACACCACCACCACCAGCCTGAACCATTGATACAAGGCAGGATGGATCCACCACACCATGACACCACCACCACCACCAGCCTGAACCATTGATACAAGGCAGGATGGATCCACCACACCATGACACCACCACCACCACCAGCCTGAACCATTGATACAAGGCAGGATGGATCCATGCTTTCATGTTTTATGCCAAATTCTGACCCTACCATCTGAATGTCCCAGCTGGAATGCAGACTCATCAGACCAGGCAATGTCTTTCCAATCTTCTATTGTCCATATTTGGTGAGCCTGTGTGAATAGTAGTCTCCGCTTCCTGTTCTTAGCTGACAGGAGTGGCACCCGGTGTGGTCTTCTGCTGCTGTAGCCCATCTGCTTCAAGGTTGGACGTGTTACGCATTCAGAGATAGTATTCTGCATACCTTGGTTGTAATGAGTGGTCATTTGAGTTACTGTTGCCTTTCTATCATCTCAAACTAGTCTGCCCATTCTCCTCTGACCTCTGACATCAACAAGGCATTTTTCTCCACACAACTGCCACTCGCTGGATATTCTCTCTTTTTTCGGACCATTCTCTGTAACCCTAGAGATGGTTGTGCGGGAAAAACTCCCAGGAGATCAGCAGTTTTTGAAATAGTCTGCCCAGCCCGTCTGGCACCAACAACCATGCCACATTCAGAGTCACTTAAATCCCCTTTCTTCCCCATTCTGATGCTCGGTTTGAACTTCAGCAAGTCGTCTTCACCACGTCTAGATGCCGAAATGCATTGAGTTGCTGCCATGTGATTGGCTGATTAGCAATTTGTGTTACCAAGCCATTGAACCCAATAAAGAGGCCGGTGTGTGTATATTGAACACTGTGGGGCTGCATGTGAGGCCCCTTTAGGGTCATAAGTGGACAACCACTGCTCTTGGGGTTGAGGCCTTTTTGGGCCGCGAAGGGACTGCAGCCCACAGAGAGTTTAGAACTGAAGTTTAGTACCAGATATGTTAGGAATGTTGTCTTTCAGGGTAACCGTGTGCAGGGCGGGGCACGTGTGCAGGGCGGGGCACGTGTGCAGGGCGGGGCACCTTAATTGGTTAATGAATGGGAGAAATGTGCGCCGACTTCATTCTAAAGCGAGGCTGAGATCTACCTGAGCAACATGAGGGATCAAAGGTCACCAGCGGCCATGTTTTTTGTTTTAGAAATTACCTGACTAGTAAGGAAAATGTCACTAAAAATATATACTGAGCCTACCTTAAAGGGGGCTCCACCCAAAAGGGGACGTTCTGATTTAAGCCTTTGTCCCCCGCTCCTCATTCACCACTTCCAGTCCGGACGCTTTCCCCCCCCTTCCAGTCCGGGGCGCTTTCCCCCCCCCCCCCCCCCTTCCGGTCCGGGCGCTTTCCCCCCCCCCCTTCCGGTCCGGGCGCTTTCCCCCCCCTTCCGGTCCGGGCGCTTTCCCCCCCCTTCCGGTCCGGGCGCTTTTCCCCCCCTTCCGGTCCGGGGCGCTTTCCCCCCCTTCCGGTCCGCTTTCCCCCCCTTCCGGTCCGGGCGCTTTCCCCCCCTTCCGGTCCGGCGCTTTCCCCCCCTTCCGGTCCGGCGCTTTCCCCCCCTTCCGGTCCGGGTCGCTTTTCCCCCCCCCCCCCCCCCGGTCCGGGCGCTTTCCCCCCCTTCCGGTCCGGGCGCTTTCCCCCCCCTTCCGGTCCGGACGCTTCCCCCCCCCCCCTTCCGGTCCGGACGCTTCCCCCCCCCCCCCCCCCCCCTTCCGGTCCGGAACGCTTCCCCCCCCCCCCCCCCCCCTTCCGGTCCGGACGCTTCCCCCCCCCCCCCCCCCCCATTCCGTCCGGACCCTTTCCCCCCCCCCCCCCCCCCCCCCCCTTCCGTGTCAGGACGCTTCCCCCCCCCCCCCCCCCTTCCAGTCCGGTCCCAGGTATAGAATGGAAAGTTGGAATGAGAAGGGAAGAGCTACATGGATCGGGTAAATTATTAGGGGGATTTTGGGTGTGTGTATGGGGGGGGGGGAGGTGGGATTCCAAAATGTTTAGGGGGGATGGTTGTATTTTTGTATGTAAAATGTTATTTTGCTGTGTTTTTTGTAAGGAAAAAAAAGTCATTAAAAAAAGTGATTCATGCCGATAGCAGAGGAAGGAGACAGTGACATAAATGTCACTCAGTACTCTGGACTGTGACAAGTACACACTATAGAGGGATGTGCCGTGTTCATATTTTATGTCTGAGGTTCTCACGCACTTCTGTTTCTTGTTGCAGGGTTTTATGGACGGCCATGGACTATGGAACAAAGGAAAGAGCTTTTCAGAAGGTGAGCCGTCTCGGGGCGAAACAGCTTATTGAATTTGCCAATTGTGATATGGAAATGGCTGGGAAATTGCCAGCCTGACTGTCTGCTTCTTCCATTCATTGGATTTCAGTTATGAAGAGCCCTGTTCACGTGAGCTTACAATCTAATAGGGTGGCAAAGGCTGCAGCCTGCCAACTGACAATTCATCTCAATACTTCCCCCACATGAAAGAGCCAACGCCGGCTGCATAGAATCAAAATAGAATAAAAAAAAAACCAAAAAAGCCCTTTAATCAGCAGTGTTTGTCTGATGATCAGCGGGGGAGATTTACTAAAACGTGAGCACTCAGAATCCAGTGCAGCTGTACATGGGAGCCAATCAGCTTCTGATTTCAGCTTGTTCAATTGAACTTTGGCGATAAAACCTGGAAGCCGGTTTTAGTAAATCAAACCCCAAAATGTAACAAGCGCACGATGTGATTGGTTTCTGATGTCCGTGTTTGCCGTAGGCTTCAGAAGTGGGGGCTCAACACCTACCTGTATGCACCGAAAGACGACTACAAGCACAGAATGTTCTGGAGGGAGATGTACTCCGTGGAGGAAGCTGGTAAGTCTCACCTTTTGGTGCAGAGAGAATATACAGAAACGACTTTAGTTTGTAAATGTCAGGAGCTTGAGATGCGCTCCGCCGCCGCCTGCCCCTCCTCTGCCGCCTGCCCCTCCTCTGCCGCCGCCTGCCCCTCCTCTGCCGCCGCCTGCCCCTCCTCTGCCGCCGCCTGCCCCTCCTCTGCCGCCGCCCCTGCCCCTCCTCTGCCGCCGCCTGCCCCTCCTCTGCCGCCGCCTGCCCCTCCTCTGCCGCCCCGTGCCTGCCCCTCCTCTGCCGCCTGCCCCTCCTTTGCCGCCGCCTGCCCCTCCTTTGCCGCCGCCTGCCCCTCCTCTGCCGCCGCCTGCCCCTCCTCTGCCGCCGCCTGCCCCTCCTCTGCCGCCGCCTGCCCCTCCTCTGCCGCCCGCCTGCCCCTCCTCTGCCGCCTGCCCCTCCTCTGCCGCCTGCCCCTCCTCTGCCGCCGCCCTGCCCCCTCTCCTCTGCCGCCGCCTGCCCCTCCTCTGCCGCCGCCTGCCCCTCCTCTGCCGCCGCCTGCCCCTCCTCTGCCGCCGCCTGCCCCTCCTCTGCCGCCGCCTGCCCCTCCTCTGCCGCCTGCCCCTCCTCTGCCGCCTGCCCCTCCTCTGCCGCCTGCCCCTCCTCTGCCGCCGCCTGCCCCTCCTCCACCGCCGGCCCCTCCTCCACCGCCTGCCCCTCCTCTGCTGTCACGGTCTGAAGTGTCATCTGTCTGGATACGAGCCCTGAACATTCTCTGCTCTCACTGGCCGCCAGCAGCACTTCTCTGACTGTGTTTCCTGTTCCCCTGCCTGTCTTGCCCTCCTTGCATGGATTGGTTGCGGCACCTCTGGCTCTTACTGTTACTATCACAAGCCTTGGCCCTGGACTTGTGATTTATTCTGGGCGCTCTGGCTGTGTACTATGACCCTGGCTAGCTTGTCCCTGGGTTAGTCTCCTGTCTGCTGCCTGCCCTGACTTCCTCTTGTCCTTGATTACTGTTCTGTCTGGTGCCTCCCTTGACCGCCTCTTGTCTCTAGATTATTTCTTTTCTTTTCTGCTGCCTCCCCTGACCTTGGCTTACCCCTAGATTATGCTTACGGTCTGCTGCCTGCCCCACCTTCACTTTGTTCTTGGATTACTCTCCTGTCTGCTGCCTGCCCTGACCTCCTCTTCTGTCTGCTACCTATCTTGACCTTTGCTTTTCTCTAGGTAATTTTCTTTTCTGCTGCCTCCCCTGACCTTCACTTGTCTCTAGGTTATTTTCTTTCTGCTGCCTCCCCTGACCTTCACTTTTCTCTAGGTTATTTTCCTTTCTGCTGCCTGCCCTGACTTCAGCTTGTCCCTGGATTCTGCTTACTTTTTTTTGCTGCCTGCCCTGATCTCCTCTTGTCCCTGAATTAGTCTGCTGCCTGCTGTGACCTCCTCCTGTCCCTGGATTACTCTCCTGTCTGCTGCCTGTCCTGACCCTCCACTTGTCCCTAGATTATTTTCCTTTCTGCTGCCTGCCCTGACTTTAGCTTGTCCCTGGATTACTCTACTGTCTGCTGCCTGCCTTGTCTACTCTTGTCCCTGAATTAATCTCATGCCTGCCGCCTGGCCTGACCTCCTCTTGTCCTTGGATTACTCTCCTGTCTGGTGCCTCTCTTGACCTCCACTTGTCTTTAGATTATTTATTTTCCTTTCTGCTGCCTCCCCTGACCTTAGCTTGTCCCTAGATTATGTTTACTGTTTGCTGCCTTCCCCTGACATCAGCTTGTTCCTGAATTGCTCTCCTGTCTGCTGCCTGCCCTGACTTCCTCTTGTCCCTGGATTACTCATGTCTGCCTTGAAATCCTCTTCTGTCTGCTGCCTGTCCTGACCACCTCTTCTGTCTACTGCCTGCCGTGACCTCCTCTTGTTCCTGAATCACTCTCCTGTCTTCTGCCTGTCCTGACCTTCACTTGTCTCTGTATTTTCCTTTCTGCTGCCTCCCCTGACCTTTGCTTGTCTCTAGGTTATTTTCCTTTCTGCTGCCTCCCCTGACCTTCACTTTGTCTCTAGGTTATTTTCCTTTCTGCTGCCTGCCCCGTCTTCAGCTTGTGCCTGGATTACTCTCCTGTCTGCTGCCTCCCCTGACCTTCGCTTGTCTCTAGGTTATTTTCCTTTCTGCTGCCTGCCCTGAATTCAGCTTGTCCCAGGACTAGTCCTCTGTCTACTGCCTGCTGTGACCTCCTCTTGTCCCTGGACTAGTCTTCTGTCCACTGCTTGCTGTGACCTCCTCCTGTCCCATCCTCCACTTGTCCCTAGATTATTTTCCTTTCTGCTGCCTGCCCTGACCTTAGCTTGTCCCTGAATTACTCTGTCTGCTGCCTGCGCTGACCTCCTCTTATCCCTGAACAAATCTTATGTCTGATGCCTGTCTTGACCTCCACTTGTCTCTAGATTTTCCTTTTTGCTGCCTGCCCTGACCTCCTCTTATCCCTGAACAAATCTCATGTCTGATGCCTGTCTTGACCTCCACTTGTCTCTAGATTTTCCTTTTTGCTGCCTGCCCTGACCTCCTCTTATCCCTGAACAAATCTCATGTCTGATGCCTGTCTTGACCTCCACTTGTCTCTAGATTTTCCTCTTTGCTGCCTGCCCTGACCTCCGCTTGTCCCTGGATTATTTTTTACTGACTCTGGATTTTGCCACTCACCGGCCTTTAGTCTTCACTACCTGCCCTGGATGTCTGGAACACCGACTCCTATATGTAGTTCTAGAACCTGTCCTTGCTCTTCCTCTAGTTCTGCTTGACCCGGGACTATAGCACTGTCACAAGTCCTGGGGGTAACCCAGTGTCTGTAGGCCTACTTGTGCTAAGGGCACAGAGGGCCGCGATGGGTGAAGTTCTGTAGTCCCCAACCGCCTGTGCTGGAGCAATCATTCGTAAAGGAATGTTGTGGTCGGTGGAAGGTGTCACGCCGGCATTCGGAGGTCAGTTGGACTACGGCGGCTCGGTTATTTCCCTTCTGCCCGTTCAGGAACCCATCTATCCTCTGTAGACGCTGCCGTCGTGTAACCTTTAAATCGAGGCCAATTCCAGATAAATCGTTGCTTTTTTATAAATGGCAGCGGCAGAACACTTTCCATGGTTTCCAGTCTGCGGCCCCTGTGGGCAGATTTGCCCTCAATTGGAGTGTGGTCACTGGCACAGGAAGTGAGAAGAATCTCTCCAATGGAGGATAAAACCGGAGATGGAATATTTGCTAATGAAATGTCTTGTGTTTTATTTCTTCTACAGATCAGTTGATGACTTTGATCTCCGCTGCTCAAGAATTCGGGATCGAGTTTATCTACGCCATTTCTCCAGGGCTGGATATAACCTTCTCCAACCAAAAGGAGGTGTCCACGCTGAAGCGGAAATTAGATCAGGTAAGCGTCTTACGGCTTCCTGATTGGCCCTTCTTTTCACCGATGTTTTTTTTAAGGCCGCTGTGTACCATTGGAAAGCCTTTCTTTTTACATCTACGCTGACCACTTCCTGGGCCGGCCCATGCGGATGTATTGGGGTTGGCAGCTCTTTAGTGCCAGATCATGTACATGTATGGTTGGATTGGTCACTGTGATCTGGCATTTCATGGTCTGCGCTGTCGTGTCCCCCCCCCCCCTGCGCTGTCGTGTCCCCCCCCCCCCTGCGCTGTCGTGTCCCCCCCCCCCCGTGCGCTGTCGTGTCCCCCCCCCCCCTGCGCTGTCGTGTCCCCCCCCCCCTGCGCTGTCGTGTCCCCCCCCCCTCACGCGCTGTCGTGTCCCCCCCCCTGCGCTGTCGTGTCCCCCCCCCCCTGCGCTGTCGTGTCCCCCCCCCCCTGCGCTGTCGTGTCCCCCCCCCCCCCCCTGCGCTGTCGTGTCCCCCCCCCCCCCCTGCGCTGTCGTGTCCCCCCCCCCCCCCCTGCGCTGTCGTGTCCCCCCCCCCCCCCTGCGCTGTCGTGTCCCCCCCCCCCTCCCCCTGCGCGCTGTCGTGTCCCCCCCCCCCCCTGCGCTGTCGTGTCCCCCCCCCCCCTGCGCTGTCGTGTCCCCCCCCCCCCCCTGCGCTGTCGTGTCCCCCCCCCCCCCCTGCGCTGTCGTGTCCCCCCCCCCCCACCCCTCATGCGCTGTCGTGTCCCCCCCCCCCCCCCCTGCGCTGTCGTGTCCCCCCCCCCCCTGCGCTGTCGTGTCCCCCCCCCCCCCCCGACTGTCGTGTTCCCCCCCCCCGCTGTCGTGTCCCCCCCCCCCCCCCCCTCCACGCTGCTGTCGTGTCCCCCGTCCCCCCCCCCATCGCCCGTCCCCCGTCGCCCCCCCCCTGCGCTGTCGTGTCCCCCCCCCCCCCCCCAGCGCTGTGTCGTGTCCCCCCCCCCCCCCCCCCTGCGCTGTCGTGTCCCCCCCCCCCCCCCCTCCCCGCCCGCTGTCGTGTCCCCCCCCCCCCCCCCCCGCGCTGTCGTGTCCCCCCCCCCCCCTCCCGCTGTCGTGTCCCCCCCCCCTGCGCTGTCGTGTCCCCCCCCCCCCCCCCCCCCCCCTCCACCGCGCTGTCGTGTCCCCCCCCCCCCCCCGCTGTCGTATCCCCCCCCCCCGGCTGTCATGTCCTGTCCTCTCCCCCCCCCCTCCCCCGGACCCCCCGCATTCGCTGTTCTCCCCCCCCCCCCCCCCGCGCTGTCGTGTCCCCCCCCCCCCCCCCCCCGACCCCCATTCGCTGTATCCCCCCCCCCGGACCCCGCACTCGCGCCGCTCTCCCCGGGCCCCGCACTCGCTGTATCCGCTCTCCCCGGGCCCCGCACTCGCTGTATCCCTCTCCCCGGGCCCCGCACTCGCGTATCCCGCAACCTCCCCGGGCCCCGCATCTCGCCGGGCCCCGCCACTATATCCGCTCTCCCCGGACCCCGCACTCGCTATATCCGCTCTCCCCGGACCCCGCACTCGCTATATCCGCTCTCCCCGGACCCCGCACTCGCTATATCCGCTCTCCCCGGACCCCGCACTCGCTATATCCGCTCTCCCCGGACCCCGCACTCGCTATATCCGCTCTCCCCGGACCCCGCACTCGCTATATCCGCTCTCCCCCGCACTCGCTTATTGCCGGACCCCCGGACCATTCACTATATCCGCTCTCCCCGGACCCCGCATTCACTATATCCGCTCTCCCCGGACCCCGCATTCACTATGTCCGCTCTCCCCGGACCCCGCATTCACTATATCCGCTCTCCCCGGACCCCCGCATTCACTATATCCGCTCTCCCCGGACCCCGCATTCACTATATCCGCTCTCCACTGACCCTGCATTCACTACATCCGCTCTCACTGACCCTGCATTCACTATATCCGCTCTTTCTCGCAGTACACAGAAATGCAATTATTTTAGTAAATATAAACTGCTAAATACCTTTTCTCATCGGCAGTATAGAGCAGTCTTGTGACTTCTGTCAGTGTCCGGCTGAGCACTGGTTAAAGCTTTTAACGAGGCTGTATAACCCCCGACCTCTGTGCAGTGTTGATTGGCTCTGTGCTAATCATATGCACACTCCCAAGAAAAATAAAAAAAAACTCTCTAGCAATACACAGCAAACCGAGCATGTGCAGAGTGACTCCTAGAGCTCTGTACTATCAGCAGATGGATTGGGGACAGTAGAAGGGGTGGATCAGAGAAGACAGGATCAAACAGCGTTTTTTATACAATGCAGAGGATTAACCCCTTAGGTTCCCACAGTGAGTATAACAAGCACGCTTTACTGCATCTACAGACTGATTGTACTGTTGTGGGTTCAGTAACACTTTCAGTGTGATGTCACGATCGGGGAAAGTGTTGATATTTACTTTAGTAACCGAAAAACTGTCAGGATTGATATTTCCCATGAAAAAGGAAAAGTATCAGTCATGCCTTTTTTTTTTTTTTCCTCCTTCTTTACTCTCTTCCAGGTCACCCAGTTTGGGTGCAAGTCGTTCGCTCTTCTGTTTGATGACATCGACCACAACATGTGCCCGGCGGACAAGGAGGTGTTCAGCTCTTTCGCTCACGCACAAGTGTCCATAACCAATGAAATCTTTCAGTACTTGAGCGAGCCAGAAACCTTTTTATATTTTGTCCTACAGGTAACTATATATTGGAGGTTTGCATGCCAGGATATCGGCATTTCCTTTCTCTGCTTTGGGTGTTGTCAGTATAGTTTAACCCCTCACCTCCCGGGCGCTTCTACCCCCTCCTGCCTACCGGGCGCTTCTACCCCCTTCCTGCCTACAGGGCACTTCTACCCCCTTCCTGCCTACCGGGCGCTTCTACCCCTTCCTGCCTACCGGGCGCTTCTACCCCCTTCCTGCCTACTGGCACTTCTACCCCCTCCTGCCTACCGGGCACTTCTACCCCCTTCCTGCCTACAGGGCACTTCTACCCCCTTCCTGCCTACCGGGCACTTCTACCCCCTTCCTGCCTACAGGACACTTCTACCCCCTTCCTGCCTACCGGGCACTTCTACCCCCTTCCTGCCTACCGGGCACTTCTACCCCCTTCCTGCCTACCGGGGCACTTCTACCCCCTTCCTGCCTACAGGACACTTCTACCCCCTTCCTGCCTACAGGACACTTCTACCCCCTTCCTGCCCCCCGGGCGCTTCTACCCCCTTCCTGCCCACCGGGCGCTTCTACCCCCTTCCTGCCTACCGGGCGCTTCTACCCCCTTCCTGCCTACTGGGCGCTTCTACCCCCTTCCTGCCCCCCGGGCGCTTCTACCCCTTCCTGCCCCCGGGCGCTTCTACCCCCTTCCTGCCCCCCGGGCGCTTCTACCCCCTTCCTGCCCCCTGGGCGCTTCTACCCCCTTCCTGCCCCCGGGCGCTTCTACCCCCCTTCCTCCTGCCCCCGGGCGCTTCTACCCCCTTCCCTTCCCCCGGGCGCTTCCCCTTCCTGCCCCCCGGGCGCTTCTACCCCTTCCTGCCCCCCGGGCGCTTCTACCCCCTTCCTGCCCCCGGGCGCTTCTACCCCCTTCCTGCCCCCCGGGCGCTTCTACCCCCCTTCCTGCCCCCCGGGCGCTTCTACCCCCTTCCTGCCCCCCGGGCGCTTCTACCCCCTTCCTGCCTACCCCGGGCGCTTCTACCCCCTTCCTGCCCCCCGGGCGCTTCTACCCCCTTCCTGCCCCCCGGGCGCTTCTACCCCCTTCCTGCCCCCCGGGCGCTTCTACCCCCTTCCTGCCCCCCGGGCGCTTCTACCCCCTTCCTGCCCCCCGGGCGCTTCTACCCCCTTCCTGCCCCCCCCGGGCGCTTCTACCCCCTTCCTGCCCCCCGGGCGCTTCTACCCCCTTCCTGCCCCCCGGGCGCTTCTACCCCCTTCCTGCCCCCCGGGCGCTTCTACCCCCTTCCTGCCCCCCGGGCGCTTCTACCCCCTTCCTGCCCCCCGGGCGCTTCTACCCCCTTCCTGCCCCCCGGGCGCTTCTACCCCCTTCCTGCCCCCCGGGCGCTTCTACCCCCCTTCCTGCCCCCCGGGCGCTTCTACCCCCTTCCTGCCCCCCGGGCGCTTCTACCCCCTTCCTGCCCCCCGGGCACTTACACCCCCTTCCTGCCCAGGCCAGTTTTCAGCTTTCAGCGCTGTTGCACTTTGAATGACAATTGCGCGGTCATGCAACACTGTACCCATATGAAATTTTAACATTTTTTTTTCTCACAAATAGAGCTTTCTTTTGGTGGTATGTACTCTCCGCTGGGGGTTTTACTTTTTGCGCTATAAAAAAACAAAATCAAAAAATGTGAAAAAATAAGTTTTTGTTTCTATTATAAAATTTTGCAAACAGGTAATTTTTCTCCTTCACTGAGGTGTGTTGGTGAGGCTGCACTAATAGGCGGCACTGATGGGCAGGGATGGGCGGCACTGATGGGTGGTACGGATAGGTGGCACTGGTGGGCACTTGTGGGCTGATCTGGTGGGTGGCCGCACTGCTGGGCAGTGATCATCGGTGCTCTTATGATCGGTGCCGATCCCTGCTCTGACAACTGCCGGTTCTCGGCTGCACTTTCCTCACGCTCTGACAGCAAATTGCATTTCCCGGTGATCAGCGTGTCATTGGACACCATGGTGACACTATACTACTTGTGGGGGGTGATGATTTTTTTTTTTTTCTACACGGATTGCTTTTATTGCCTTTATGGGTAATTTCTCCTTAATAATAATAATAATAATTTATAATAATAAATTATAATAATTTTGTAATCATTTCTCCTTCTCTCTGGCTGCATTCTTGCAGCCATTGAGAAATGCTGTGAGAGCTGTGATTGGTCACAGCTTGTCACATGGTACAAGGCTGTTGTGAATAGCCCTGTACCATGTGATCTCTGTGATCATTCACAAATTTCACACGTAGTAAGAAATGATGTCAGAAGTGACATCTTGCTTACTACTCTGCATGTGATCACTGATTGGCCAATCAGTGATCACATGATCGAGACCTCGCACAGAGGTCCCGTACAACGATCGGTGTTTCACAGTGTCCGGAGGACACAGCGGGCACCGGATCGCGGTGCTGCACGCTCACAGGGAGCGCAACAAGCAGGGGGCGGGGAGGCCGTTTATAAACGGCCACCCGCCCCTGCACTGCCACCGTCTGGCCGTTTATATACAACTGCCGGACGGGAGGTGGTTAACCCCCCTAGCGGTCTGATTATGTCAGTATTTCTGTGCTCAAAGCGGGTACATTATTTTCAATGGAAATTTGTTGTTTATTTATTGTCGGCTTGTAATTCTTAGGAATAACTCACTGAAATCTGTCCGAACAAGAGTCTAGTAAACATCCCGGGGAGGATAAAACTTGAAACACGAAATCATAAATTATAATTTAATAAATAATCATAAATAATAATAATATAATAATAATAAATGTAATTCAATAATATAATCAAACCAAAAACACTGAAATGTGAAATATAGCGCCAAGTTCGCACATCGCTGAGCTCAGTCGCAGAATCGTTTTCAGTGTCTGATGAGGAATTTCCCCCACCATCATTATCACTCAATTCTGCAAGTGGTTCTGATTTACTATCGCTGTTCTCTAGCCGGTCTAAAACCGCGTCTGACCTAAAGGGACGCTTTTTGGACGCCATGGACGTTTCTCAGTTTCCAGGCAGAAAGGGCGGTAAAAATGCAGGCAGGGCGCCGGACAAAGCACTCGGGACACAATGTGTGTGAAATGGTTTGATACAGGAATGTTATACTCTGTGATTTTAGTGGATTGAGTGAATGTTATGACATTTTTTGAATTTTTTTATATTTACTAGATGGCCTCTCCTGTATTTTAGAAATCTAAACCTGGGAGTGCCGGTGTGATTGAAGCCCAGCAACTCGTATAGAGCCTGCAAGTCACATGTCATGTTTTCTGTTTTTTTTGCAGAATATTGTGGCACTTTCTGCTTCCCAAACGTTGCCCAGTCCCCGTACCTGAGAACAGTCGGTGAGAAGTTGCTTCCCGGTATTGATGTCCTCTGGACAGGTGAGTCACTTTTTTGATATGGGACGTAGGCAACCTTAAAGAGGTGGAGATCTACCTGAACAACATGGGGAGAAGTCAAGGATCACCGGGCACATGGTCGCCTCCTTACACCTGATTTAAACCTTTTAACCACTTCCCGTCCGGGCCGCTATATACAGTTGTGTTCAAAATAATAGCCATCAGACATCACTAACCGGATCAATCTCTGTTTTTGGTGGAAATGATATTTCTACATGGCAAATAATTTCCTAGCAGGTGTAGTAGAGTAATAGAAATCCAACAGACCCGACAGTCATGACATGCATGCTGCTGATTCTGTGTCATTGAATCACTCATTGAAAGGGGCGTGTTCAAAATAATAGCCGTGTGGAGTTCTATTAGTGACGTCATTCATTCTTTGATAAACAGGTGGCAATTATTGCCCTTATTTAAGGAAGGAAGGCAGCAAATGTTGGACATGCTGGTTACAGTGCATTTCTCTCTGAAATTCTGAGGAAAATGGGTCGTTCCAGACATTGTTCAGAAGAACAGCGTACCTTGATTAAAAAGCTGATTGGAGGGGGGAAAACATATAAAGAAGTGCAGAAAATGATCGGCTGCTCAGCTAAAATGATGGCAAATGCTTTAAAATGGCAACCAAAACCTGAAAGACGTGGAAGAAAGCGAAAAACTACCATTGGAATGGATAGAAGAATAGCCAAAATGGGGCGGACTCAGCCAACAATCAGCTCCAGGAAGATGAAAGAAGGTGTGACGTTCCCTGTGAGGACTCAGCCAACAATCAGCTCCAGGAAGATGAAAGAAGGTGTGACGGTCCCTGTGAGGACTGTTACAATTAGAAGACGCCGATGTGAAGCCAAGCTATCTGCAAGAAGTCCCCGCAAAGTCCCACTGTTGGAAAAAAGATGTGCTGAAGAGGTTACAATCTGCCAAAGAGCACATTGACTGGCCTAAAGAGAAATGGCGCAACATTTTGTGGACTGATGGAAGTAAGATTGTTCTTTTTGGGTCTAGTGGGCGGAGACAGTTTGTCAGACGACCCCCAAACACTGAATTCAAGCCACAGGACACTGTGAAGACCGTGAAGCATGGTGGTGCAAGCATCATGATACGGGGATGTTTCTCATACTACGATGTTGGGCCTATTTATCGCATACCAGGGATCATGGATCAGTTTGAATCCATCAGAATACTTGAAGAGGTCATGCTGCCTTATGCTGAAGAGGAAATGCCCTTGAAATGGGTGTTCCAACAAGACAACGACCCCAAACACACCAGTAAATGTGCAACATCTTGGTTCCAGACCAACAAGATGGACGTTATGGAGTGGCCAGCCCAATCCCCAGATCTTCATCCAATAGAAAACTTGTGGGATGACATCAAAAATGCAGTTTCTGAGGCAAAACCAAGAAATAGAGAAGAACTGTGGAATGTGGTCCAATCATCCTGGGCTGGAATACCTGATCACAGGGGCCAGAAGTTGGGTGACTCCATGCAACACAGATGTACAGCAGTTCTCAGAAACAGTGCGACTACAACCAAATATTCATGAAGTCATTCAAAGGAAAGCAAAATCTTCAAACATTTCTCAGTTTATATAGTGAATGTTGGAGTTTGTAAAGAAGAATACAAACACGGCGATTTTTTTGAACCGTCTAATATTCACTTTTCTTCCATTTTTTTAGAGGAACAACACAAATTTGATGTATTTTTCTTCCTGTTGTGATTTGGAATAGAATGTGTCGTGTTCCCAATGCATTTGTGTGGATGAAAATAAAAGCGATTAGAAGGATTTTCAGCTTTATTCACTTTTTTCAACACACTGCTATTATTTTGAACACAACTGTATAAACGGCCGGACGGTGGCAGTTCTGGGGCGGGTTGCCATTCTTAAACGGCGCCCGTCATTTTGGATTGTGCGTACTCCCTGGGAGCGCGCGGCACCGCGATCCGGTGCCCACTGTGTCCTCTGGACACAGCGGAACACCGATCACTGTACTAGACCTCTGTGTGAGATTCCGATCATGTGATCACTGATTGGCCAATCAGTGATCACATGATAGGTGTAAGCAAGATGTCACTTCTGACATCATTGCTTACTACGTGTGAAATCTGTGAATGATCACAGAGATCACATGGTACAGGGTTATTCACAACAGCCTTGTACCATGTGACAAGCTGCGACCAATCACCGCTCACTCAGTAGTTCTCAAATGCTGCAACAAAGCAATCAGTGTAAAAAAAAAAAAAAAAAAAAAAAAAAAAAAATCTTCACCCCCCACAAGTAGTACGGTGTCACTATGCGGGGATCGTTGGCTTGCTTTAAAATTTACCTTTTTCGTGGAGAGATCAGTTAACACCGTATAGGTTGCAAGCCGACGATCCCCGCAGGATGGATCAGATCTATGGCTTGAGCATAATGGATCAAAGTTCCGATCCATTATGCTCCCCAATCCGCAGAGCCAATCCATCCTGCGGGGATCGTCAGCTCCAGGGGCGGACTTACCATTTGGAAACTCGGGCACTGCCTGAGGGCCCGGGGTCAGTAGGGGGCCCCATGCGATGCCCCTGGTACCTTTTTCATAGGCTTTTTTGAGTTTGGGCAAGGACACAGGGGCCCCCTGATCCCCTATTGCCCGGGGGCCCCATGAGTTGTCAGTCCGCCCCTGGTCAGCTCGCTTTAAAACTTACCTTTTCGTGGAGAGATCAGTTAACCCCATATAGGTTGCAAGCCGACGATCCCCGCAGGATGGATGAGATCTGCGGATTGGGGAGGATAATGGATCGGACTCCGATCCATTATGTTCAATCCGCAGATCTCATCCATCCTGCGGGGATTGTCGGAGGGGTGACGCCAAGTGTTACCGCACCGGGGGACACCAACCCTAAGGACGCCCCTGCCGGCAGGATATAATAGAAGTCTGCGGACAAGTGCAGCAAAGCTGCAGGTACACAGCACTGCACCCGCGGTGCGGGGTAGACCGCAGCGCATCAGTGTGAAAGCAGCCGTATAAAATCATACCCAGTGCATTGCTTTCCACTGACTTGAAGATCTCTTTCCTGCTTCTGGCACCACTCTGATAGTTCCATAGTTAGTCTGGCTGAAAAAAGACAAAAGTCTATCCAGTTCAACCATCAAAAGAAAAAAAAAAAAAAAGTTATCCTACACCCACAGTTGATATAGAGGAAGGCAATAAACCCAGCAAAGTACGATCCAATTTGCTCCTGCGGGGAAAAAAAAATTCCTTCCTGATCCCCCGAGAGGCAATCGGATATTCCCTGGATCAACTGTACCTATAAATGTTAGTAGACCACTAGCCAGGATAAGAGGCGGAGTGCAGTCGGTATCACAGGAGCAGGGGCGGACTGAACATTCGAGCACTCGGGCACTGCCCGAGGGCCGGGGGTAGTAGGGGGCCCCATGAAATGCCCCTGGCACCTTTTTTATAGGTTTTTTGGGTGTGCTTTGAGTGTGGGCAAGGACACAGGGGCCCCATGATCCCCTATTGCCCGGGGGGGCCCCATGAGTTGTCGGTCCGCCCCTGCACAGGAAGCATCGCTTTTGCAGCTCTTGCTCCCGACTACATCGGCAACTTTATAAGTCGTCCCTCTGCATTGCACTCATGCTCTGGCATGGGGGGGGGGGGGGTGTCAGCAATCCCAGACCACTATCTACTGGTTGCTGACCCCCATCTTATACCTTTCACCTGTGTATTGTAAATGTGAGCGTGGGTTACCGGCTTCTGCAAACTGCAAAGTGAGATCCTGGAAAACCAGGATATTGGGGATTATTGCTGATTTTGCTTGGAAAAAATGTTAAAAAAATACAAAGTAAATGAACGTTGGCATACAAAAAAAAACGTTATATGTTCCTATTAAAGTGGAGTCCAGGTATTGTTCTCTCTCCTTTCCTCTGTTAGGGCTCATGTACACTGCAGCTGATAAACTCACGTTTAGGAACTGTTCAGCGTTTTTTTCAGCAGCCCCTAAACTCTCCCTAATGTTTTCCTATTTTTCCGTGTACACATCGTCGTTTACAGGCATTTGAGTTTACAGTCGTTTTTTTTAACGCAACAAACTTGCGTTTAGACGTCGATGTTAGTGGAAATGCTGGCCAGAGCCTTTTTTCAGCGTGAAAAATGCATGCAAAGTGTTTTCAGGGTGCTCAGATGGACAAAACACTGAACACAGGATGTTCCTACCTAGCTTGTCACACAATGTAATGACCAATTCACACCTCAGACCTCTCCCTCCCTTGGAAACAAAAGATATGTTAATGATTATTCACACCTCAAATTCCTCATGAAGACCCCCTGCCAGGTGGCCTTAATGACTCCCTCCACCAGACACCTTTCCCACCCTTGGAAACCAAAGATATGTTAATGACCATGCACACCTCAGACCTCTCCCACCCTTGGAAACAAAAGATATGTTAATGATTATTCACACCCAGGGGCGGACTGACCATTTGGAAACTCGGGCGCTGCCCGAGGGCCCGGGGTCAGTAGGGGGCCCCATGAAATGCCCCTGGTGCCTTTTTCATAGGCTTTTTTTGAGTTTGGGCAAGGACACAGGGGCCCCATGATCCCCTATTGCCCAGGGGCCCCATGAGTTGTCAGTCCACCCCTGTTCACACCTCAAATTCCTCATGAAGACCCCCTACCAGGTGGCCTTAATGACTCCCTCCACCACACACCTTTCCCACCCTTGGAAACCAAAGATATGTTAATGACCATGCACACCTCAGACCTCTCCCACCCTTGGAAACAAAAGATATGTTAATGATTATTCACACCCAGGGGCGGACTGACCATTGGAAACTCGGGCGCTGCCCGAGGGCCCGGGGTCAGTAGGGGGCCCCATGAAATGCCCCTGGTGCCTTTTTCATAGGCTTTTTTTGATTTGGGCAAGGACACAGGGGCCCCATGATCCCCCTATTGCCCAGGGGCCCCATGAGTTGTCAGTCCACCCCTGTTCACACCTCAAATTCCTCATGAAGACCCCCTACAGGTGGCCTTAATGACTCCCCCACCACACACACCTTTCCCACCCTTGGAAACAAAAGAAATGGAAATGACCAATTCACACCTCAGACCTCTCCCGCCCTTGGAAACAAAAGATATGTTAATGACCATTCACACCTCAGACCTCTCCCGCCCTTGGAAACAAAAGATATGTTAATGACCAATTCACACCTCAGACCTCTTCCCCTTGGAAACCCTATGTTAATGGCCATTCAACCTCAGACCTCTCCCAAAACAAAAGATATGTTAATGACCATGCACACCTCAGACCTCTCCCCCTTGGAAACAAAAGATATGTTAATGGCCATTCACACCTCAGACCTCTTCCACCCTTGGAAACAAAAGATATGTTAATGACCATGCACACCTCAGACCTCTCCCACCCTTGGAAACAAAAGATATGTTAATGGCCATTCACACCTCAGACCTCTTCCACCCTTGGAAACAAAAGATATGTTAATGGCCATTCACACCTCAGACCTCTCCCTCCCTTGGAAACAAAAGATATGTTAATGACCATTCACACCTCAAATTCCTCATGAAGACCCCCTGCCAGGTGGCCTTGATGACTCCACCAGCCACCTTTTCCACCCTTGAAAACAAAAGAAATGTTAATGAGCAACTCACACCTAAGCTAATCTCAACACATACTGCTGTCTCTGCTTCTACTCTCTGTATTTCTCTGAAACAGTCTGCAATAGTTAATAATTTACCACTTTTCAGTGCATTCTGGGAATTTGGGAGGGTCTCCTGTGCTTATCTTTAAAAAACGCTTCTAAACGCAAACGCGCATAAACAGACTTTTTTTAACCTGCGTTTTCCAGCAGTCAGTTTCCATCGTTCAGAAAGGTCCCGTGTACATGGGGCCTTAGGCTGGTCATACAATTCTTACAATTTTCAGTCCAGTTTCCTTTAGATTTACCTTCAACTATGTAGTGAATGGGCCGGCCTAGTTGGATACAATTAAAATTGTCAATTAGGTTTGGCCTTCTATTATATGGTTTTTGGTAAATCTAAAGCACAAATCTGAAGAAAATTGTATAATGTATGGCCAGCCTTGTTTTAGATTTTGGGGAGTTTTGTACTTTAATTCTCACAGCCATAAAACGTGAACTTTTTAACCCAGACATTTTTTTTTTCTCGTTTCATGCAGGCCCGAAAGTGGTTTCTAAAGACATTTCTGTGGAATCCATCGAGGAGGTTTCCAAAATCCTGAAGAGGTCGCCGGTGATTTGGGACAACATACACGCCAATGATTACGACCAGAAGAGGCTCTTTCTGGGCCCTTACAAAGGACGATCCACTGAGCTCATCCCCCGTTTCCGGGGAGTGCTGACCAATCCGAACTGCGAATTTGAGTCCAATTACGTAGCTATTCACACACTTGCTACGTGGTATAAATCCAACATGAATGGCGTGAGGAAGGATGTCGTAATGGGTAAGTGCGCAACAGGAAGATATTTTAACCACCTCCCGTCTGGTCGTTGTATATAAACGGCCAGACGGTGGCAGTGCAGGGACGGGTGGACGTTTATAAATGGCCTTCCTGCCCCCTGCTTGTGCGCACTCCCTTGTGCGCGATCCGGTGCCTGCTGTGTCCTCCGGACACAGTGGAACACCAATCGTCGTACGGGACCTCTCTGCGAGGTTCCGATCATGTGATCACCGATTGGCCAATCAGTGATCACATGCAGAGTAGTAAGCAAGATGTCACTTTTGACATCATTGCTTACTAGGTGTGAAATCTGTGAATGATCACAGAGATCACATGGTACAGGGTTATTCACAACAGCCTCGTACCATGTGATAAGCTGTGACCAATCACAGCTCACACAGTAGTTCTCAATGGCTGCAAGAATGCAGCCAGAGAGGAGGAGAAATGATTGCTTTTACAGCCTTTATGGGTGTCAAAGCAGTCAGTGTAAAAAAAAAAAAAAAAAATCTTCAGCACCCCCCACAAGTAGTACACCATGGTGACGCTATACTGCTAGGGTGACAGTATGTTAAAAAAAAAACGAATATAAAAAAAAAAAAGAAAAAAATGTTTAAAAATTATCATTTTTGGTTATATACTAATTTGGGTTTTTTTTTTTTTTTTTACTAAAAATATAATTGGGGTAAAATTTTTTTCTTAATTTGTTATAAAATTTTGTAAATAATGTTTTTCATTTACTGATATGCGCTAATGAGGCTGCAGTGATGGGCACTGATAGGCGGCACTGATGGGCATTGACAGGCATCATTGCTGGGCACTGAAAGACAGCACTCATATATGGCCCTGATTGGCGGCAGTGATGGGCACTGACTGGAGGCTCTGATGGGCACTGATCTATGGCAATGATGGGCACTGACAGGTGGCACTGATGGGGCTACACTGATGACCAGTGTAGATGTCCCCTCTGATGAATGCCGCTCACCGGCTCTCTTCTCCCGCGCTGTCAGTGCGAGGAGAGGACTGCTGATAACCCGCATTTCCTATTTACATGCGATCAGCTGTGATTGGACACAGCTGATCACATGATAGAGCCTAGTCATTGCTCTTTCCTGCGATTGGTGATCCGCTGTGTTCCAGAGATACAGCGCACCACCGATCGCCACGGGCACGCATGCACAGCTCGAGCGTGAGGACGTCGTGCGACGTCCTCCCGGAACGAGAGAACCGCCGCCCGTCAGTCATTTCCTTATATGGCCGGTGGGAGGCGGTTAAAGCCGGACTGGATTCTCATTTTAGGGCCAATTCACACCGCGCCAAACTGCTTTCAGCGCTGTCGCACTTGGAATGACAATTGCGCGGTCATGCAACACTGTACCCATATGAAATTTTTATCTTTTTTTGTGAGAGATAAATCTTTACTTTGGTGGTATTTAATCACCTCGGGGATTTTTTTTTTTTCTTAAACCAAAAACCACTGAAAAGTTTGAAAAACAAAAGTTTTTCTCTTAGTTTTTGTTATAAAATTTTGTAAATAAGTGATTTTTCTCCTTCACTGATGTGCGCTAATGAGGCTGCACTGATGGGCACTGATAGGCTGCGCTGATGGACACTGGTAGGTGGCACTGATGGGCATTGACAGGCATCACTGATGGGCACTGAAAGGCAGCACTCATATATGGCACTGATAGGCGGCGCTGATGCGGCGGCGCTGATGCACACTGATAGGCGGCGCTGATGCGCACTGATAGGCGGCGCTGATGCGCACTGATAGGCGGCGCTGATGCGCACTGATAGGCGGCGCTGATGCGCACTGATAGGCGGCGCTGATGCGCACTGATAGGCGGCGCTGATGCGCACTGATAGGCGGCGCTGATGCGCACTGATAGGCGGCGCTGATGCGCACTGATAGGCGGCGCTGATGCGCACTGATAGGCGGCTCGGATGGGCACTGATAGGCGGCTCGGATGGGCACTGATAGGCGGCTCGGATGGGCACTGATAGGCGGCTCGGATGGGCACTGATAGGCGGCTCGGATGGGCACTGATAGGCGGCTCGGATGGGCACTGATAGGCGGCTCGGATGGGCACTGATAGGCGGCTCGGATGGGCACTGATAGGCGGCTCGGATGGGCACTGATAGGCGGCTCGGATGGGCACTGATAGGCGGCTCGGATGGGCACTGATAAGGCAGGCTCGGATGGGCACTGATAGGCGGCTCGGATGGGCACTGATAGGCGGCTCGGATGGGCACTGATAGGCGGCACTGAAAGGCAGCTCGGATGGGCACTGATAGGCGGCACTGAAAGGCAGCTCGGATGGGCACTGATAGGCGGCACTGAAAGGCAGCTCGGATGGGCACTGATAGGCGGCACTGAAAGGCAGCTCGGATGGGCACTGATAGGCGGCACTGAAAGGCAGCTCGGATGGGCACTGATAGGCGGCACTGAAAGGCAGCTCGGATGGGCACTGATAGGCGGCACTGAAAGGCAGCTCGGATGGGCACTGATATGTGACATTGATGTGGCACTGGCAGGTGGTATGGATGAGCACTGACAGGTGGCACTGCTGGGGCTACGCTGATCATCAGGGAACCGATTACCGGCTCTCCTCTGTCAGCGTGACAGCTTGAAAGGAGAGAAATGCCGATAACCGGCATTTCCCTGTTTACATGTGATCAGCTGTGATTGGACACAGCTGATCACATGACCGCGCCGACATCTTCAGCTCTTTCCGTTGATCGGTGATTTGCTGTGTCCGAGGGACACGCGCGGTTAGAATGGGACGACGCCATATGACGTCCTCCCAGAACGAGAGAAACCGCCTTGTGTCCCTCATTGGACTATATGGTGGGCGGGAGGTGGTTAGAGGCAAACTCAAGGCAGCCCTTCACAGCGCTGTAAAGTGATCACCTTTTACAAAACGACTGATTGCCGACTGAAAAAAAAAAATTGATGACAGGTCAAGACAGTGATCTTCCTGTATCTGAGGTCCTTAAGTGTATGTATGGCTTATATTGGGGGGGGGGGGGGGGGGGGGGCAGTGAAAAACGTAGGAAATATTCGCCAATTCCACAATCTCTTTTTGGTACTGACTTTCATTTTTCCTCCTTTGCAGCGGACAGTGAAGACAGCACGGTGTCCATACAGATCAAACTAGAAAATGAAGGCAGTGATGAGGACTTGGAGACGGACGTGCTGTACAGTCCCCAAATGGCTCTGAAACTTGCTCTGACCGACTGGCTGCAGGAGTTCGGAGTGCCTCTGCAGTACAGCAGTATGTTACACATTCCCTACAATTTATCACATGAGAAGGATTAAAATGCTTGTAAAGGCTAAAGTGTTTTTTTTTTTTTTTTTTTAATTTCTGCTTTTTTAATTTCTGCTTTTTTAATTTTTTTTTTTTTTTTAATTTCTCTTTTTTTTTTTTTAATTTCTCTTTTTTTTTTTTTTTTTCCTTCTCTTTTTTTTTTTTTTTAATTTCTTTTTTTTTTTTAATTTCTCTTTTTTTTTTTTTTTTTTTAATTTCTCTTTTTTTTTTTTTTAAGTTTTTTTTTTCTTTTTTTTTTTTAATTTCTCTTTTTTTTTTTTTAATTTCTCTTTTTTTTTTTTTTAATTTCTCTTTTTTTTTTTTTTAATTTCTCTTTTTTTTTTTCAATTTCTCTTTTTTTTAAGTTCTCTTTTTTTTTTTTTTTTTAAGTTCTCTTAAGTTTTCCTTTTTTTTTAAGTTCTCTTTTTTTTAATTTTCTCTTTTTTTATTATCCTGCTTTTTTTCTGTTTTCTTTTAATTTTCTTTCTACCTTTTTATAAATTCTATGCATGAAAGTGAAAAAAAAAAACACCTGTGTGCAGCAGCCCCCCAAATACTTACCTGACCCCCATTGCGATCCTGCGATGTGCATGAGAGCCTCGACCTTTCCAGGGTCTCTCCTTCCTCATTGGTAAGCACAGCCGGTGAGCCAGTGAAGTGAGAGAGAGGGTGCGGGGCCGAGCTCTGTGTGTGAATGGATACGCAAAGCAGCGGTTCAGGAACGAGGCCAGGAGCGTTAGCGGGGGGCCCAAGAATGACCTGCTTGTGTTTTTTTTTTTTTTTTTTTTTTTTTTTTGGGGGGGGGGTTGTGGTTCTTTTTTGGGGAGCTGTTTTTGTCTTTTGTTTTTCTGGGGGGTTTGGGGTTTTTTTTTTTTTTTTTTTTTTTTCCTACCTTTAATAAATTTTAATGCATGAAAGTAAAAAAAAAAGCCCCCCCCACCTATGTGCAGCCCCCCCCCCCCCCCCCCCCCCCCCCCCCGATGCTTACCTGAGCCCCATTGCGATCCTGCGATGTGCATGAGAGCCTCGACTTTCCAGGGTCTTTCCTTCCTCATTGGTAAGCACAGCCGGTGAGCCAATGAAGTGAGATAGAGGGTGCGGGGCCGAGCTCTGTGTGTGAATGGATACGTAAAGCAGTGGTCAGGAACGAGGCCAAGGAGCGCCAGCGGGGGCCCCGAGAATATGACCTGCTTGTGTTTTTTTTTTGGGGGGGGGGGGGGGTTGGGGTTCTTTTGGGGGGATTGTTTTTTTTTTCTACCTTTTTTATAAATTTTTATGCATGAAAGTAAAAAAACACCTATGTGCAGCAGCCCCCCCCAAATACCTTCGCCCCATTGCGATTCTGCGATGTGCATGAGAGCCTCGGCTTTCCGGGGTCTCTCCTTCCTCATTGGTAAGCACTGCCAGTGAGCCAATGAAGAGAGAGAGAGAGGGTGCGGGGCCGAGCTCTGTGTGTGAATGGATACGCAAAGCAGTGACTCAGGAACGAGGCCAGCAGGGGGCCGAGAAAAATCGAGGCTGCTCTGTTCAAAACCACTGCAGAGAGCAGATAAATGTGACCTGTTTTTTTTTTTTTTTTTTGGGGGGGGGCTGGGGTTCTTTTTTGGGGTTTTTTTTGTTTTTTGTGGGGGGGGGTTCTTTTTTGCGTTTAATGTCACTTTAACCCCTCTCCCTCCAGAGGATTTACCCCACTTCATGACCAGGCCATTCTTTGCGTTACGGCGCTGCGTTACTTTGACAATTGCGCGGTCATGCAACGCCACACCCAGATGAGATTTGGACTTTTTTGCTATAAAACATGTCCAGTAAAAAAAAATTATTAAAAAATCAAATTTCGTCATACATTTCGGCCATCATGTATTCCGCTCCGTGTCTTTGCTAAAAAAAAAAAAAAAAAAAAAACCCAATACGTGTAAATGAATTGGTTTACTTGAAAGTTATGGCGGTATAGATACTGGAATTTTTTTTTTCTTTTTTTACTAGTAATGGCGGCGATCAGTGACTTTTAGTGGAACTGCGGCGGTCCTTCTGACACTGGGGGGGGGGGGGAACTAACTTGGTGTTACTGACATCCCCAGTGACACCAGTACAGTGATCAGTGCTAAAAAACAGCACTGACACTGTACTAATGGCACTGGGCAGGAAGGGGTTAATGTGAGGGGCGATCAAAGGGGTAACTGTGTGCTGGGAGTGTTTTACTAGGGGGCGGGGGCATGCGCTTCACTGTAAGCACACTGATCGGGATGGCTGTGCTGTGCAGTGTGTCCGAGCTGACAGGGAGGACGATTGTTTAACAAAACAGTTGGTGATTGTTGGCTCTAGAAACCCACTAGTTTGGGGGTTTTTTTCCAGCCAAAAAATGTTGATTCCAGTCTGTGTGTGTATGGACACCGAGGATCACATGCTGGGGGGTTTACTGACTGTAGAAAACAATGCTCAAAACAGCCGCTGTAAAAACGTCCCGTGTACGTGAGGACGTCTGTGATTGATTGACAGCAGCAGGAGCCAATGGCTCCCACTGCTGTGTCCGAGCCAATGAGGAGGGGGAGAGCCAAGAGTAGGCTTTTTTTTTTTTTTTTTCCCTTTCTCTTTTTTCCTTTCTCTTCTTTTTTTCTTTCTCTTCTTTTTTTTTTCCTTTCTTTCTCTTCTTTTTTTCCTTTCTTTCTCTCTCTTTTTTCCCATTTTTTTTTTTGCTTTCTTTCTCTTTTTTTCCCCATTTTTCTTTCTCTTTTTTTTCCCCCCATTTTTCTTTCTTTTTTTTCCCCCCATTTTTCTTTCTCTTTTTTTTCCCCATTTTTCTTTCTCTTTTTTTCCCCCCATTTTTCTTTCTCTTTTTTTCCCCCCATTTTTCTTTCTCTTTTTTTTCCCCCCATTTTTCTTTCTCTTTTTTTTCCCCCATTTTTCTTTCTCCTTTTTTTTCCCCCCATTTTTCTTTCTCCTTTTTTTCCCCCCATTTTTCTTTCTCCTTTTTTTCCCCCATTTTTCTTTCTCTTTTTTTTCCCCCCATTTTTCTTTCTCTTTTTTTTTCCCCCATTTTTCTTTCTCTTTTTTTTTCCCCCATTTTTCTTTCTCTTTTTTTTTCCCCCATTTTTCTTTCTCTTTTTTTTCCCCCCATTTTTCTTTCTCTTTTTTTCCCCCCCCATTTTTCTTTCTCTTTTTTTCCCCCCCATTTTTCTTTCTCTTTTTTTCCCCCCCATTTTTCTTTCTCTTTTTTTCCCCCCCATTTTTCTTTCTCTTTTTTTTCCCCCCATTTTTCTTTCTCTTTTTTTTCCCCCATTTTTTCTTTCTTTCTCTTTTTTTCTCCCCCCCATTTTTCTTTCTCTTTTTTTCCCCCATTTTTCTTTTGCTTTTTTTTTTTCTTTTGGATGGGTGGGGAAGCTGCTGCACGCTGAAGGTTTTTTTTATCCTGGCATAGAATACGTGAAAAATGTGAATAAAAATAAACAAAAGAAAATGTATTTTATAACGTACCTAATCAAATTCCAGGCAGGCAAGTCGCTCACAGCGGGGCGAAGACCGGCGTTGTGGGAATGGCGCCGTTAATATCCACTCCATCTCTAAACGCCGCCACGACCGTCACCACTGTTTACCAGCAGCCCATAATGAGCCAGGGAACCGCGCTGAGCACGGAGCCGCCCATGCTGGCCAAAGAGGAGGAGAAGAAGCAGCTGGACGAGGAGCCCATGGAAATGGTGGAAGAGAAAGCCGAGGACGTCAACAAGAACGTCAACCAAATCCTAACGGACATTGCCGAGGCAAAAATGTCGGAAGAGTTGAAACCTATGGACACAGACAAGGAGAGCGTAGGGGAAGCCAAGTCTTCAGAGTCGTGCATGCAGGATGACGTCTGCGGCGACATCGCGCCCATGCAGACCGACGAACTGATCAGCAGGGAGCAGTTTATCCCCGGGCCTAATGAGAAGCCCTTGTATGCCGCCGAAGCCGTCACCCTGGACGATTTACAATTACTGGCCGATTTATTCTTCTTGCCTTATGAACATGGACCAAAAGGTGCTCAGATGTTGAAGGAATTTCAGTGGCTGCGAGCGAACAGCAGCGTGGTGAGCGTCAACTGTGGCAGCAAAGATGTAGAGAAAGTAAGTGTCAGCCTTTGTGTTTCTGTTACAGATGCAGGAAGTTTCTTTTGTTTTTCTCTCTCTTTTTCCTTTTTTTTTTCTCTTTTTCCTTTTTCTCTTTTTTCTTTTTTTTTCTCTTTTTCCTTTTCTCTTTTTTCTTTTTTTTTCTCTTTTTCTTCTCTTTTTCCTTTTCTCTTTCTCCTTTTCTCTTTCTCTTTTTCCTTTTTTCTCTTTTTCCTTTTTTCTCTTTTTCCTTTTTTTCTTTTTTCCTTTTCCTTTATTTTCTCTTTTTCCTTTATTTTCTCTTTTTCCTTTTCTCTTTTTCCTTTTCTCTTTTTCCTTTTCTCTTTTTCCTTTTCTCTTTTTCTTTTCTATTTCTCCTTTATTTTCTCTTTTCTTTTTTTTTTCTCTTTCTCCTTTTCTCTTTTTCCTTTTTTTTTTCTCTTTTTCCTTTTCTCTTTTTCCTTTTTCTCTTTTTCCTTTTCCTTTATTTTCTCTTCTTCCTTTTCTCTTCTTCCTTTTCTCTTCTTCCTTTTCTCTTCTTCCTTTTCTCTTCTTCCTTTTCTCTTCTTCCTTTTCTCTTTTTCCTTTGCTTTTTCCTTTTCTCTTTTTCCTTTTTCTTTTTCTCTTTTTCCTTTTTCTTTTTCTCTTTTTCCTTTTTTTTCTTTTTCTCTTTTTCCTTTTTCCTTTTTCTCTTTTTCCTTTTTCTTTTTCTCTTTTTCCTTTTTCTTTTTCTCTTTTTCCTTTCTTTTTCTCTTTTTCCTTTCTTTTTCTCTTTTTCCTTTCTTTTTCTCTTTTTTTTTTT